CAGGGCCGCGCTGACCTCTGCCGGGGCCCCGCGGCACTGCGAGCACAGCCGCAGCCTCCTCGCCTCGCCCCGAAGGGAAAACAGGCAGGGAAAATCAGGACCTGCTCCCAGCTCCTCCCAGCTCACTGCTGAACATCCAGTCTGGGAGGGAGGGCTGTCTGTGCCCCTCGCACCGCTCCACTCACAGCACTGGAACTGCTCAGGAGAATCACAGTGGTTGAGGTTGGCAAAGACCTTCAGAGCATCAAGTCCAACCATAAAGAGCAGTAAGTAGTTAAAAAATAAATCCATGCAGACACTGAACTCGGCAGCAGTGTGTCCTTCCCCTACAGCTTGTCCCCACCAGTGATGGAAATTCCACTGGCAGTGAGGGATTTACCCTAAACCACATCTGAACTCTTGGCTACAGCCCCAAGGGAGCCACTGGGCAGGGTGGGAGCTCCACCAGCTCTCCAGCCACACTGTGGTTTTACAGTGTCAATTTTCAGTTCACAGATCAGTCATTCCAAACTGAGATGGGAAGAGCATCTTTAACACACTGTTACCCAACCCACACCCAGGATGCAAAGCTCATGGTGAACCTTTCCATCTCCAGCTGTTTTTGCAAATAAGCAATTCAGGGCTCACTGTTAGGTGAGAAGTTGGGCAGCAGCACCTCCTGACCAGTGACACCAGTGGCACAGGACTAGAGGCCAGTGGCAGAGTGTGGCCCTGCCAGGGATAGGTGTGGGACAGTTCAGAGGTGACTCTCATCTCACCCCACACACACAGCTTGACCCAAGCACTGTGACTGTGCCCAGCAAATAGGAGTTAAATACTGAACAACAAGTTGTAACCAAAACTTTAATCCCAAGGATCTCACAAAAGACATTTTACAAGTGACATGAAAATTCTTGTACAGTAAAGAAATGTTTAATTCCTAAAGTTTACAATGTACCATTAGACACAACACATCCACTCCAGGTGTCAGTTCTGTGGAGTATTTGGTCAATTCAGAGGTTCTGGAATAGATGGTCAATCACAATTGGCTATTCAAGAAGTGCTCCAGTCATACCAAGTACAAAATTAACTGTACTATGGCTAAAAATTTGTATTCCATGTACTATATAAAGCAGTTCAGCTCCAGGTAATCTGCTGGAGCTGGAGGAAGCTGCAGCACTTCTCTCCCCTCCCTGCTGTGTGATCCCACCAGAACACACCACCCCAGCCCAGCAGCACTCTCCAGCTGCAGACACAGACTGCTCACCATTCCACACACACACCAACCACATCTAATGGTACATTGGAAAACCATTAATATTACAAATCATAGGATCTGCTCAGAAACCATATACAGATTCACATCTTTACATTTGCCACCTGTTACAAGATACAAGGAACAAAGCGAGTTCGACAGCTAAAACATTTTAAAAATGCACCAAAAGCTTTATGAAGTTTCGAAACAAAACAATGTTCTGTACATACTCCTCCTGGCCCTCAGGTCTCGTGACTTCCTGTACACAGCTCCTTCCCACAGTCCTATTTCCTCTCATTTGACCTGGAGCGACTGAGGAACAAGAGAGGAACAAGAGAGGTTGGGTTAGTGTCCAGGTGTCAAGAGCAGCACGTTCTCCTTTAAACCCTCCAGCCCAAACAGCAGAGATTTAACCATTTAACAATCCTGTTCATTTAAGGAGTTATTTCATGCTTCAAGGTGAAGAACCTCCGAAGATTCTAGATTCCCACAATCTTTTTCAGCATTACCAAGGCACAGAAAATCATTTCCCCATGTTTACTCAGCACACAAAGTCACTGGAGACTCTCCTTACCTGCGAGACCTGGAAAAGGAGCGAGAAGGCTTGTGGTTCCTCTCCCGTGAGAGTGATCTCTCTCTTCTTCTGTCTCTGGAGAGGGACCTGGTACAGATCACAACACCAACCATCAGAGCAAAGCTCCATCAGCCAACAAGGCTACCTCAGGAACTCCCCCCCAGCAGTGAAGGTTTCTAACTACTCAACCTGTTCAACCTTTGCTTCAGGTGAGAATAACCAGCTAGAGCCAAGAGCTCGAGCTGTGAACAGGCACCCAGAGCTCTGCAGCAGTTTGTCCCTGTCCAGACACTGCAAGTGAGTTAACATGGTGTGTCCATGTACACCTACACATCCCCCATGGATTCTGGAAGCTTCCCAGATCCTATCACAGCAGTGTGTGACAGCAGAATGTGCTCCCAGGCTCCACGTAGCTCACCCAGCAAATCCCATCTAATTACCACCCTGATTTATAGCTGGACTCAATCTCAAAGGTCTTTTCCCACCTAAGGGCTTCATAATTCTACACCCACAGGACCTGGTGGGGAGCAGCACATTAACACACAAACTTTGGGAAAAACTGGCAGCTGCAGAATGGAAATTACTTCCATCCTTAATATCCTCTCCAGTCTAACCCGGAATCTCAAACAGCTGTGAATTCCAGGCAAACACTATGGCAGAGGCAGAGCTGTTTCTCTTTTACCAAACTGCCCTGTGACTGGGGGCAGAGCTGCTCTGCGCTGCTCCTGTTAGAATCACAGTTATCATCCAGGTTGGAGGAGACCTCTAAGACCAGAGTCCAATCACTAACCTGCCACTCTGCTGTACACCCTACACCATATCCTCCAGCACCAGATCCAGACACCTCTTAAACACTTCCAGAGATGGTGACTGCACCACCTCCCTGGGCAATGTTCCAGTGCCTGAACACCCTCACAGGGAAAACATTTATCCTAATGTCTATCTGCCTCAGCCCTGGCTCAGCTCAAGGCCATTCCTCTACTCCTCTCCCTGCAGCCATGGCAGGAGAGACTCCCCCACCTCTCTCCAACCCTGTCAGGGAGTTGGAGAGAGCCATGACGTCACCCCTGAGCCTCTTTTCAAGGCTGAACAGACCCAACTCCCTCAGCCCTTCCTCACAGGACATGTTTTGCAGACCTTTATGTTCAAACCTCGGGGCTGGAGATGCCCCTGTGGTGAGGGATGGATTCCTACCTGCTGCGGCTCCGGGAGAAGCTTCTCCTTCGCGGTGATCTAGAACCAGAAAGGCAGATGTGAGGCACTTGATCCACTCTCTGAGCATTACTGGGGTGAGTGAGGCATTTCCCAACTTGTCAAACTCACTGTTGGGCCCAGGGAACGTGCCAAGAATAACTGGCATCCATCATCCAGTAAAAGGCATGGAAAGATTAGGCAGTAAAACCAAGCTCAGTGTGAACAGCACATTTCCAACCACGAATCACTTTTAACTAATTGCTCCAGAGCACAGTTGTCCAATGCAAACACTTTCCATTTCGACTAAATACACTGCCCAGAACACCACACCAAAGTCCCACAAGTGGTTCCATAAAAAAAAAAAACCAAAACCAACAACCAACCAAAAAATAGCACAGACCAAAATGTTTTGGAACCCATGCAAGGCAAAAAGGTTGTAACAAGACATAAGAGATACCAAGTGGGAGAAAAAAAAAAAGTGAAAATGCGCTCAGTGTCAATACTGCTAATGCCATTAAGTGCTACATTAGAACTGCATAGTTGTGATTTTTAATGCCATCAGAGTGTGTTTAGGCTATTTTCGTTTTTTTTAAAAAAAAAAGATTAAAAATTAAAAATATAACCTTAGCTCGGCCCAGTTCATCCCAAAAAAAGTCATTGTTTTAAGGTTTGAAAACTGTTAGTAAAACCATTTAAAGGTGATAGGATTTGTCTGGCAAGGAAAAAAAAAGCTACATTTGGTTAGAGCTTTATTAAAGAATTTAGTTTGGCATCTCACATGCAAATAATCCTGTTCGGTTTTTTTCGTCTTTTTTTTTGCTGTTATTCCCAGTGTAAGAGCTTCCATATCACCCTTAAAAGTTTTCTCAAGCAACATATGTACGTTACCACTCAATTATATGCACAGCCAGCCTTTGATTGAGAAAAGTAATTACTTATTAAGCCGCTTACTCCTTATTTTTAACCAGCAGTAAACTGTATAAGCAGGAAAAACTTACTAGTCTTTGGTTTCAACAAGCTAGAAATGGTGAGGTGAGGCTGCCGGACTGACTGCCAAGAAGAATTTGCTGAAAAGGTTTTGCCAGATGTTGCGTTGGATTTAGTTGGTTGGCGAAGGGGGTGTTGTGGATTTTTCCTGCTTTTTTGTTAGCCGAAGGCTGCTGCTGTAGTTGTTGTGAAGACACATTTGGTAAATAAACAGCTGAGCTGATTGGCCGGGAATGTGTGGGCGGTCGAGGTGGCTGCTGCCGATTTGGTTAAGGTTGGAGAGAAGGCTGAGAGAAAACAGCATGCTCGGGAACCAAAGGGCGGTGCAACCTGACGACTGGCCATGCCTGGGTCATGTGAAACGACACCAGCCAAGCTGCGTGGGGCGCGCTGGTCACATGACGCTGAAAGGGCTAGTTGACTGGCTAATGCAGACTCAGAGGGTGGTGAGAAGAGACATGATGGTGACTCTGTAACGGGTTCATTTTTATTAATAGATGGACCAAAAAAGCATAAAAAAAATGAAAAACAAGCCATCAGTACAACCATCTATTAGCTAATAAATACTCCTAGCGGGTTATTTTTT